AAAAGCCTTGAAAATCGATATTTTCAACCTATATATAAGAGGCTGTACTTTCAAGTGACACATGTATATGTTGAACTTTACAACCTGTATTTGTCTCAACGTAAGCTATATATAAGCAATATTCAACCCATTTATTACACGGTACAACATATATTTAGTGATACAACCTATATTTTAGTTTTCAACATTTTTGTCACGCTTGGCGTTCCATACCCAATTATCAGTGCGAGCTGCTTAGTATTTTTCCGACCTCCGAAGCCTTCGGGACTCGGAACGAGGGAACGAGGAAAAATGCAAGCAATTAGTAAAATGTCCGCTATTATTTCATTTTTTAGTCTTTCGGCTTCTGGGTTTCGAAACTGGCACGATCTTATCTGAACATCGTACCGAAGACTAAAGGCGTGCAAAAGGGGATAACAAAAATTAATCCTTGTGGGCTACGAAGCTCGCTCTTGAGAAATCATTTCTAAAAACCGAAAAGAAACCTAACATCGCGCGGATTGTTTCTGTCTATATTTTTCCTTGTTCTACAGTCAAATACCGTCGCATTTTTGCGCGTTTCGTTGCCCAAATATGGTGGTTATAAAATAATAAAGAACTGTATCTGTTTTCGCCTTTTTGTGACGCGATGTTTGAAAAGGTAAAAACATTTCTGAAACCTTTCAAGCGTTAAAACGCTCCATATTAGTTTGTTTACTGTGGCTTGAAAACTCTAACACAAAGACAGCTGGAGATGCGGCTGCTAGAAGTACGAAAAAGACTAAAATACCCCAGCACATATCTCAAGTTTTGTGTAACTTGCATAAGTCTCTTTACACCAAAAGAACCACAGGTTCATCAGGTCTGTTATTGAAAACAACTAACCATCAAAACCAAACCTAGACACTCGACCTTTCTCTGTTCCTGCACCAACTTTCCATGATTCAAGTAAACATTGAAAAGGTGTAAACTTAGTTTCATCTGTTATTAGTTATAGGGTGACTTTGGTCAATTATTGCTATCACTGTCCTTATTATTATTATTATTATTAACTTTTATTTGAAAATACGTTAAATAAGTCGGACGCTTTTTGAGATTTTTAAATTTTTTCTTTTGCAAACGTTAGTTGAAATGTCTAACTTCAATATAGTCCAAAAAAAAAAACATATTTTCGGCCTCTGAAAGAGGAAGTAACCTTAAGCAGCTTATCCTCGAAAGTTAACACGCTTGTCACTCAGACAGAAATGGCATAGGAAGAGAACTTCGCACCAAGGTGCGGGACGAGGTTTCCGCTAGGAAATAAGCCTTCAACTCTGAGAGGGTTCGTCTCCTGAAAAATACTGACCCACGTAAATGGAGGAATCTAGCCAACAAGGTAAATCGAGCAGTATAAGTTCTATTAGTTATGAGGTCGATGGCAAGGTTCTGTCAGGCTGTAAGCTTGCAGATAAATTCAATAAATTCCTTCTTTCAGTAACATCTGACATTCCGGCCACAGACCCTCAATCCCTCCCTACCTTTCTGCCAGCTCCAGATGAGTTCCCTGTTATCTAAAAGGCTGCCCCAACTTAGCCCTTTCAAGGCTCACGGCCCGAATGCAATTCCAAATCGAATTATAGAGGAATCCATGAAACTCGCCGAGCCCGTGACCACCATCCTTGAATGCTCACTTTCTTGCAACTTTTCATCTGCATGGAAAGACTGGCAAATATCAAAGCTTTATCCTGGTAGTTTTAATTTCTCAAAGGTTCTTTCTTGGCCCGCCATAGGAGGCGCATCCAGCTTTAAAAGAGCTAAAATGACAAAAAATGTTATTGGATCCGTCGAACGGCTGTGACACAAGACCTCATGTTTTGGGTTGGTGTTAGGAAGTTAAAAGTCAAGGCCAATCTTCAGTTTGTACCAAAACATGATCTCTTGCCGGATTCTCGATATTTATGGTTAGTAGCTCTTAAGCTGCTAAACATAGGCGGGTATTACGAGCAGTGAAGCATGATGGACTGCTATCCAAGTGGGCTCCAGCACATGCTGGGGTTTCAAAAGAGACTAAGCTAGGGCCAAAACTCACCCATGTCATGGTCGATGACCTACCATGCATATCCCCTCTCAAGTCAAATCAATGGAAATTTGGCTCCCCATTAATCATACAGTCTGACCTGGAAGACATCTCGACATTGGCTGAAGAAAGATCCAGATGTAGTCCAGCTCACAGTTAATAACACTCACCGAAGAAGTAAGCTCTCATAAAGTACTGGGGGTCACCCTGTGCGACAACCTCAAATAGAATGTCAACACACAGGAGATAGTACACAAAGCGTCTAAAAGCATATACCTGCTGAGGGTATTGAAACACGCTGGCGTCCCTCAGCCACACCTCGTTTCAATTCATAACACCTTTGTCAGGGTCATTTCTAGAATATGCCTATCCTGTGCCTCCAGCATTATCTCAACGACCACTCGGAGCACGTCCAGAAGCGCGCCATGCGAAAAATTCATCCATGTTGTAACCACGACACATCACTCTACCAAAGTTGTTTACCTCGTTAAGAGGATAGGAGGCAAAGCCTTTGCTCGATAGCCATTATTAGGGCCTGTAACCCAGGCCCGCTTGTTCGTAAACGTCTCGCCTCAGTGCGTTACTGTTCACGGTGGTAAAATACGTTTCTCCAACCGTGTATCGCTACCGTGTTGTAGAACAGCTATGGCTTTCCAGCAAAATTGTACATACTAGCCAAAGTTAGCGAAAGTTAGCGATATAAGTTTATAACTTGTACTACATTTTTCCCCTATGCTGAACACATGTAACTAAATTTTAAAAAAAAATTTCTTCCAGGAATTGTAACCCCAGCGCTCTTGGAATCTTAAAAGTTTAGACACCATATGTAATTCTTAAACCTTTCTTTTATTATTTTTAGCGTAAACATGCCATTACTTCACTCTGTGTGATGACATGCATTTTGATAAACCTTCATTATCATGATTATTATTATAATGAAAAGGCTCAATACTTTGTAACCTTACCGCTTAAGGTGATAGTAAGCTTTCTTAGTTGACTGAAAGGGATTTCTCGAACATGAAGGCTCTCCGGTAAAATTGGAGCTGGAAATAAGAAAAATATGTCTGAATTTTCAGAATTGATAGAATGTTTTGGCGCATTAGCTAACAATTCAAAACGTTTCGGAACTTTCTGTTAGAGTGTGATTGGTTTCAACCAATTGCAAATAAACTGGAGTTTTAGTTCACCCATCCGAAGAAATTATGTTTGAAAAGCGTGGGGGAATCATTAATCAACCATGGGAGGAGACAGTAATTTAGCAAATGGATGGAAAATAAATTCACTTATCAACGATTTGCAGGACAGGTTAAGCCTTTAGGATGGTAGAACTTTCGATATTCGGTTACATTCTCGGCATAATCCAACAAGAGAGTGAGGGTGTCATTTCGGGACTCAATGAGAAGAGTCATGTTCCTAAATTTTTCATTATCTGGCCAGCCATGGAGTGTAGAATATTGGATAAATGCTGTGATGAAAAAATCTGACCATCACAACTGTACTTCAAAAAGCATATCATTTATTTTTCAACGAACATACTCGACGGCTGAGTGTGGTGGTCTTGACAGTAATGTGCCCGTGAGGTTCCAGATTGAAACTTACCTGTTGTCCCTGCCGGCACAATTTTTCTCAGCTCCTCAACTACATCACTTCGGTCTGCATTGTTAGCCTTTCTCGCCAGGGCACGAATCAGTACCTTGTTATCAGGATCAGGGTTTTGCAAGGCAGCATCATCCAGATTAAATTTTTCTTCTAGTTGTCGTACAACTTCTTTGCAATCATTTGAAGGTGACAAAAGGGTGTCTACAACCTCACCAGGGAGAGACAGCGTCCTAGCTCCTTCACCTAACAAAGTATATATTTTGTCCATATATTAATATTGCTACACCTGATATTGATATTGCTACACCTTGTATTAATATTGCTACACCTTAAGGCTTTTTAACCAGGTAGCCGGCATTCCGCTACAGATGGGTCTTTGAAAGCTATGCAAGTGTGTGCGACATGACTACCAACCGAGATAGATGTAGTGAAATCTGCGTAGGCAAACAATTTTGGTAAATCGATCTTGCCTATAATGTTTCCCGCAAGTCTTTACGTTTTAGAGGCACCTATCATCTACACTTCAACAGCTAAGCTGAATAATGAACAAATAGATTGAGAGTGATACCAGAGGAAATTGTATAGAAAAAAAGTGGAGCACACCTAATACTCTTTCTGGAGATTATCGAATTTAACGAATGCATACCAGAGTAAGAAGCTCACCTTTATCAAGGGACAAAAGTTTATCATAATGTGCCACCTACGATATGTAAAAAGGGATGGTTAAAAATGTTGCTGTACGTTACCATTATTACGATTATATCACAAGGGTTCAAAAACTGCCAAAAACAAAGACTCACGATATAATATTTGTTATATATGCATTGGCGTTGATTACAAGCTGGACTGTGTGTAAAATAGTATTTGATCGTTGTCTGATATTTTCCGCTACATTCTTTAAAATCTTTGAAATTCCTCAATGGATTGAAATCACTTTCGCCACAGTAAAAAGCCTTTCGTATTTCTTAATTAAATGCGTAAAATTGCTTTACTCGAATTATTTTATCTGCAACAGAGGCAATGTTTTTTTCATATGAAACTTGTAATGATAATTACCCAGTTCTCCTGAGATGAAAACCAAGGAGCACAGTGCTCAGGATTGAATCTGTTTATACATGCAAAATCAGATTCCAAACAACATGCGTCTCCCTTGGATGCGCGCAGCTCAGACTCCGGCCAAAAGTGAAGGCATTCCTCTTGCTTGCAATTTAAACTTTGATGCTTTTCACAGTAGTCGATAGCCCTCTGCTCACAGCATGCGAAGATTGGACAGAAGATACCCATCTTGTATTTCATGCTGTTCAGCCAGCGAAACTGATTACGCATACACTCCAGAATCAAGTTCAACTGTCTACAGACAACCTGGACACAAGTTAAATCATTCTCATTGTATAACGTGTCCATTGACTTCTGGGAGAAGCTGGATCGCAGAGCATTTACCAAGCCATCATTTTCGTTACATCGATGGTAGACAACCTCGATATAAGACGAGTGACACAGAAGAATTACTGAGCATCCGGAATTTTGAGACGTGTAAAACCTGGAAAAGCTGTGAAACAGCTTCGGACGCACTGGTCTCCAAAACTCCTCTTTTCCCCATTGAAAGAACTGTAAAACTAATCTGGGAAAAAGGCCAGCAGGGACTTGACCAGACTCAAACTTTATAACGAGTGAAGGCACTTGTGCAGAAGAAACCAAATTCAAGACACCCTCTGGTGGTGGTGACTTTAGCATGGAGGGTACCAGGTACTGCTTGCCACCAGGTGAAGGCCACGAACACAATAAGCTAAATCTCTCCATTAATGCAATTAATTTTTCAGAATTTTCTCTGCCGCCGATTAACTGAGGTTCCCAAACATGTTCCAAAAGCTGTTCCTGCAAGATTCCTTTATTTTCAAGCTTCTTCCATAATTCTAAAAAGGGCTCCTCTTCAGGGTGGTAGGGCTTAACAGTTATAACCTTCTTAAACACGTCGATCAACCACTGAGAATCGAGGATCACTAGATCATTCAGTTCTGCTGTGTCATCAAAATGGATCAAGATTCTTAGGTCATGCAGAAAGTTGAGCAGCGTCTTGAACTCGTTTTCAGTTCTGATGTCGCATTCCTCGTTTGCAATGCTTTTTGCTGTTTCGAGCGAAATAAAATTGTCCCCGCCCTTTTTCCTCCTTTGGAGAGTTTTTTCGTACTTTAACCATTTAACTGGAATCACCTCCTTGATATGTGGCAGTTTCTTAGCAACAGCGAGAACTTCCTTTCGCAGACGTCCGACTTCTTGACACTCAGACTCACAGCCGGACTTTGTATTATCTACACAATACAAACCATACAAATGGGCACCATAAGGTCTCTCCTTCAAAGTTCCATACACTTCAACTGCAAGTTTGTGTGGATCTCTGCCCTCATAAGGTTTATCAGCGTGAGTGCAGACCAGGAAAACCAAAGGCAATCGCTTTGGAAGTGCCTCGAATCCAGTATCCATATCCTTGCCTTCGTGATATGTTGCTAAAGAAGCTATTGAACTCATCCAGAAATCTAAGTAATCCAGGTTAGTTTTCTGGTCAAAACTATCTTGGGGCTCTGTGTATACTCCGGGTTTCACTGGCGGCTCGGCTATTGCGTTTGGATTCAAGCCGAGATTATAAACAAGAAAATAGATGGCTCTTGCTGTAAGAAAAAGGGGATGTGTTACGTAATAAACAGATTGTCCGGCAAAATCCCACAGAATTGAGTAGACATCGTCAGCCTCATTCTCTCTTCTCTTTTCTTTTTCTTTAAGTAAACTTGCAATTCTTGTAGCAATTTCTTCAAAATGTGATGCCTGTTCTGGTGTGGGATTGGGTAAGTCATCTTTGGATTCCATTTTTTTTGGATCAGGAACTTGTCTCACCGGCGAACGATTTTCATCAAAGCTACTTTCGGTGGATAACAGATCCTCAGTTTGCTCAGTTCCAACAAAGCCACTCGATGAATCACTGGAGGTTGCCTCCAAGAGGTCATCTGTCCCGTCAATATCATAGTCATCTCCTTTCCCAAGATTGTTTCCCTTACTTAGCTCAGTGACGGTTTCTGTAGTCCTCAATGTGTCAGCAGCCAACCGTGCTGCATTTTGTTCAAATGATAGAGCTTCTTGATCAACGTTCCCCTCTTCATTCTTTTTTCCTGTCATCCACATTTCCGTGGTCACTTCAAAAGGGTACGGATCTAAATCAATGCCCACAGTGCTCTCCTCTTTTGCGTTGAAACGTAAGCCCTTTAACGATTTCTTCAAGCTAGTCTTTCCGGATCGGTCTTGTCCAACCAACATCAGCGGTACTCTTCTATCGCAGATCTTTCCTTCATCCAGGGCGTGGTAATAGGCTTGTAAAGCGAGAGGTCCTCTTGCAAGAATCTCTGGAGGAACTGCATGTTTGAAAGCAGGCAAAGAAAAAAAACTATTATCATAAAGATAATGGCAAGGATATCACAAGCTTTTTAAAAAAACTGCCATATCCGGATGCAAGATGAGTTTGAAAAGACTGAAAATTGATGGGTAGTTACTCGATGGCCTATCTTTTACAGTTTTATCGGTGTTACAGAACCAATGTCGCCACCACAATTGCCTTACGGCAGTTTGTGTACCTCTGGTATACCGAGAGCAACAAAATCGCACAACCATACCAAAGAAATATGTCAATTTTGTTTTTGTCAAGGAAACATGCAGTATGATCTCAGACTTCACCAAGGTCACTAAGCTCCAAAGAACATGTGTGTCAACAAATGACTAATTCGCTGGAGTTAACCAAGTTAGCTAGAGGTAGCACTGCAGACTAGAGCGAAATTGGGTCTGATGTTTTTAAAAATCCACGCAGTGAACTCAGATGTTTTCCTCTGTCCCACGCTAGTAACAAAAGAATGGCAGCTTCATTCATTCGATCATCTACCTTAACATTTACTTTTTCTTTGTCTTACTGTAATTAATGTCTAGCAACGAGAATTACTTATTTTCCACTGAAACGTGCTAACGCATCATTTAAGAATGATCTTAGCAAAACTGAAATATTTCACTAACCTATCCTTTCTTGCCCATTTCTCATTATCTTTCCAACAACAAAGCCTTGAACTTCTTTGACAAATTCGAGAAAATCGGGTAACTTTCTGACAATCATCTCGGGTTCCCACTGCCCACTACTGAGTAACCTGTCCCACTCTTCGCAATGTAGGTGAAGATCAGTCTACAGACACGAATGAAAATAATATGAAATCATCGCATGGCCTGCAGCTCCTTCCAACGATGTAAGAGGTAGAGATTGTCTTAGATAGTGTGTAGAAAGAAAAACCCTTGAATTTATTAGAGAATTGCCTCAAAACCCCTTAGATTACGACCATCCTGGATTACGTGAAAATCAACATCCCGCCTTTTCGCGAAGGCGTGCTCGATTAATATCCACAGCACACTGCACGCCACAACGCGACACAAACGCTTTCACAATATCCGCAACACTGCCGCAAACGCTCTAAAAAGTACTCTCTCCATTAAGCGCCTCTCTCTGATTAATACACTGATAGAGCTTCATGTTTGTAGCACACCTTAACCCTCCCCTAACTTCCCTAAGACAGTTGTTTCCTCTTAACTTTTTTAGGTTAGGTACGTTGCAACATGTGTTTTTCGTATTTAAAAGCCGTTTTAAATGCCGCAGGCTTCTAACCGAGCAATACATACTCTATATCGCATTGCCAATCTCAGAAAAAAAGTAATAGGTCGCATTCTAGCCCTCAGAGAGTTTTTCATATGCCCTCCATTCTTAGAAGCCCCGGTCTGTTCCATGTGCCTTCAAACCGAAAAATGATAAACCCATCGGAAGAGTGCTTAATGTATCTGTGAACAACGTTGGGCAACTTTTCAGAGAATTAGGACACACTGATAAATATAACAAATTGGAGTTTTTTCCTCTCTATAGAATGCCAACTATCCTGAATGTAGTCCAAGTACATTCCTTTTAGTTATGGAAATAATATAACAATCACAACAAAATGGTGGGGAAAAATTCGTTTTCGAAGTTTAGTTTTATAGATTATGTCCCCTTTATCTAGTAGTAAATACCGATTCTCTGGATCCTTTATCATTCGCAGCAAAGCGCCACGATCGTTCCCTCGAAAGAATGACACTGAAACCTGGCTTAGACTTGTAGACAATTCGTTTGGAAAACCGTTTGTGGATCAAATGAAATCCTTCTGGGATCTTCTTCTCGGGGAGTTTTAGTCCAAAGGAGTCGTCTTCCTTCAAAGTAATCTCAGAAAGATAATCTGCCAACACGCGTATTACATCTTCTTTCGGTACATGGTCTAGATCAGTGGCGTTCCCTATTTCAACAAAAAATGCATATACACACCGGGAACAATAACAACGTCAACAAAAATTGATTCTACTCGACTTCTTTTTCTTCAATAATCCTTTGGGGTCAGTTTTACATGAAGATCAGCTTGTCACTTTTACCTTATAAGAGGGTCTCATGCAATGGAAAGATAGCTTTTATGGCTAACGGTTGAGATTTTAGCCATCGTACGGTTAGCGGTGATTTCTTTGCCGTTAAGGTTAACAGAAATGTTAAAATCAATTTCAATTACTTTTAAAAAAATTTGTGATCAACATTCACTGCTCCAACTCACTATAAAACTCGCTTGCTTACCCATCAGAGTCAAGCAACAAGGATTATTCCAGATCCAGCTGCTTTTGGTTTGATATGCAATATAAAGCAGTTTTCTGCAAGCTCGCTGATTTTCACAAGGCGAAAAAACTTCAAGGTTTATGGACCTAGCCATAAATTCGTGGCTTGTTCATTAAAATCAAGAACATCGATCAGATTAAAATCCTGAATTAGAGCGTTGTTCCTCTCCGATTCTTTCCCTATATATGTGTATCTTCCGATTAGCTAATCATTTCTTACCCTTTTATGACATTAAAAGTTGTAGACCCATGTACCTGTGTGTCTTATTTTTTGATAAACAAACCATTTATATTTACACGGAAAGTACCTGTTCGCTCACGTATGGTGAGTCTGCAATCGAACTCGCACCCAGGAAATAAAATATCTGCTTGCAAATATCTTCGCGATGGGAGAACTATCCAGCCTCGACTTTGCGACCGAGTGGCTTCATCAGTAAAGTGAATTTTTTTCAGGATGTTCTTGACGTCACTAAATGGGACTGGAATGCCTTCCAAGTTTTTCTTAACATCCTTCCTAGCCACCCAGACCTAAAATATATACATAGAAAAATATTTTGCAAAGTTAAATAACTTTCCGTTACGGCTTTCGAAACGAATAGCTTATGTTAGTTACAATGAATATATGAAGTTCATATATTCCCGTACAGGCCTGATTTTTCAGGTCTGATTTTCGCTATTGCATAAACAGCGTTCTCTACTGCGAGGATCGTGCATCATGCTTATGTTAGTTTTTATGTTGTTGTTATTATTCATATTAAAAAATCCTTATTTGCGATCAAAAATAAATGCAAATTGTAAGATTCGAACAGAGTGTCAAGAGGGATGATTTCAGTCTTTGAGCTAACAAGAACCTGACCCTAACCTAGGAATTACGACATTACTTGGTGAGACATTGTAATAATTGTATGATATTGTTTTGGGCAGAGAGATCCAAATCTGATATCAATTGGTTGTATCCTGTGCGGCCGTTAGAGAGCTCAACATTATCCTCTGATTTAACACCACAGGGAACCCTGATGTACTTAAAAAGTAGTTTAAGATCCACGAAATTATGGTGTGTTTATATCTATCCACCTTAACTTAAAGAGTAGGTTACCATCTGCACGCTGTATAACCATCAACATACACCCAGTCTTTAAAATTCTCTATAAATTCGCAAAGATGGCGTTTAATTTTACCGTAAAAAGTGATTGGTGTTTGCAAAATCAAAGTCTCAGAGAAATCTCTACAACGGAGACAACCTAGTGTCTGCTTCATGCAGGTTGTCGGTTCAATACAGATGTAGTCAATTGCACAATGATCAATATGATCATGCCGTTACTTATTCAACTGGACTGTTTTTGGCCTCTTTCCTCCAATACAGTATCTATTAAGACAAATGAAAATTTCTCCTAAAAATTTATAGCATTTATGTTTGGGGTTATAGTGGCTGAATTTCGCTTGCTGTACTTTTTGAGGTTTAACAAAGCTTCATTGAGATAACTTCTCTAGTAGCGTTTATAAAAAAAAAATTAACAGAAAAGACATTAAACTTTACCTTAATAGGAATGACCTATAAAACAAGCGAGACAGTCTGACAAAATTGGATTACTGACGACACTTGCAATCCCCAAAACGACAGAATGGCCTTGGCGTAGGAGACGTTAATCATCAGTCATAGTTAAACATGTTTAAGCGAAATATGAATTTCTGTTACATTCTCTATCAGATGTGTCTAGTTTGACAATATAGGTACTGGTAAGCTTATCATTTTTAGAATTTTCAGATCCTGAGCCTATTCTTTCTGTAGCCTAGCATTGGCAATTTCTACATGTAAGTTTTACCGGGATAGTTGTCATCTAGTCAGGTTAAACAAGCAATTTTGGTTGGCGGGCCAGGGGCCCGTTTCTCGAGGGTTCCGGAAACTAAACGTGCCTGTATAGCTATTCTGTTTTAATTCAAGATGGCAGTTTGAAAAGTTTTGAAAATTATGTAATAAAATTATTAGGCAAAGAAACAAAATGGAGCGATTAGGGTGCCAGAACCTGCTTCGCTATTCTTAAAATTTTGATTTAAAAATATGGCTTTGGGCCCGTTAAGTTTCCGGGAACTGCAATAAACAGGCCTCAGCCACTTTAATCGCTCTGTTTAACAGATGGAGCCCTCCCTGATTCACAGTTCTATATCAAAGGGTACAAGACGGTCCGTAAAGATCGTAATAGATTTGGAGGAGGTCTCCTTGTGTACATTAGAAGAGGTTTGATCACTCAAAGAATTAATCATCTGGAGGGTAATTATATCCAATCTATCGCTCTGCTGGTGCAGCCTACGACGTCATCGAAGAGAACAAGGTTTCGGTGTGCGTACAAACCAAAAACCACCAAAGGTAACCAAACATCTGTTGGAATCGGAGGTCAACTACATGCTGTTTAATGCCTCCCAGCGTTATTAAAACTTAGTGATTCTTGGTGATCTAAATTGTGATATCTAGCATCCGGACAAGGGATCCGGGGAGGGAAGAGCCTCACTGAACTTAGTGATCGAATATAAGTTGATCAATTTGATCAGGGAACTCACGAGAGTGACTGCAACATCTAGTACTCTCATCGACGTAATCCTGACTAACAGGCCCCGGTCTTTTTTAAACGTCTGGCCCGTTATATTTGGGCTAAAGTGACCGGCATCACCTGGTCTACGCTGTTAGCAGGTCACACTGTCCAAGGATTTGCCCTCTAACCGTTGAAAGACGTACTTTTAAGAATTACGATCCCGAGCGATTTCGCGTTGATTTGCAATTGATTCCATTCGATATCGCATACATATTTGAGGACATCGACGACATCTATTAGGCTGGGAGTGACTGTTATCAAGTGCTCTCGACGACCACGCGCCAATTAAACGTAGAACAGTAAATCGTGAGCACGTACCACTTATGACACCTGAACTACTCGAGGCAATCAGGAAACGCAATAAATTAAAGCGCCTTTACAACAAGTCTAAGTGCCGGCCAGATTAGGACAGATATAAGACTCCGCGAAACTTTGCATCTTCATTGAGACGTAAGGCTGTATTAAACTATTTTCGCACCAATGCCGCAGATGCCAAGGGCAACCCCAAGAAAGTTTGGCAAATGGTCAAGCCTTTCATGCACTCAAAGAAAAACATCAACCAGGACTCCATTCATCTTAAAGAGGGTGATAGTCTTGTTGTTAACAAACTGGAAGTAGCACAAATTTTCAGCGCGCACTTCTCATCCTTCTTCAAGGACAATGATAGAGATGGGCATTACAATGATAATTCCGGTTTTACTATTCATCCAAGCATCTCGGTCATGCAGACCTACTGTGTTGCGGGAGGAGCTTTCCAGTTTCGTTTTGTAAGTCCACCTGAAGTCGAACTTATACTCAAGTCACTGGATCCAAAAAAAGCTACTGGCTATAATAAGATACCGCCAAGAACATTGCGGGATGGTGCTGATACTCTTGCTTGTCCGATATCTGTTCTTATTAACCAAGATCATTGGCTCTGGCTCTGGCTCTGTGCCAGCTGCTTGGAAGCTGGCCGAAATCTGTCCCATCTTCAAAAAGGATGATCCTTATGATAAATCTAACTATCGGCCAGAATCGATTCTAGTTAATCTGGATAAAGTTTTGAGAAGTGCCTTGTACGCCAACTCTCTGATTATTTTAGACCGATCTTGTCACCGTTCCAGTCTGCGTATGGACGGGGTTACAGCTGTGAGGCGGTACTTCTACGTTTGATTGAGGAATGGAGGAGTGCACTTGACAATAAGTATGTTGTTGGCGCTGTTTCTATGGATCTGAGTAAAGCCTTTGATATGATACCGCATGAGCAGGAGACAGTAGCCCTGATCGCATTTCTGTCTGCAATGCAAAGGGTCCGCCGAGTTACAGTTTCAGGACTAGGCTCTCGGCTCAACGTTTCTCGAGAACCATCAGAAACACTCCATGTCTGACCATATAACTCTGGAATCTGCGTTTTTTTTGCCGAGGAAAAGGTTAAAATTCTTAGTGGTAATTGTCCTGGCATCACGAAAGGAAGATTGAAAGAATGGCTGTCATTTCGGAAGGAACGGCAAAATTTTGTCGCCTTTGTTCATGACCACAGTTGTTGTTCCTTTGTCGGCCTTTCTGAGGTTTAACTCAGAGTCCGTTTCAAGACCCTCAGCGCCTTACGTTCGGCCGGAAGCAAATTATCTTTTGGCTTTGTACTTTCTATTTCTGAAAGGTCACTTTTTACCTCTTCTAAATAGCTTTCAAGGGCTACTTTTTTTTGTATTGGTGGTATCCATGTAGATTTGACGTGGCAGGGATGGGTTTTTTGTCCTCCCCTCGGAATATGTAAATCAGACGCATTCTCCTTGCGGACTGATCAAAGTCACACAATAGTTCTTGTATAATTTTTTTTTGTTTTGTAGCGGGTGTTGGAATGAACTTAAGCCCTCTTGCCAGTAAATTAATCTGGTCGTTTGTAAGTTCTTTATTTGAGAGGTTTTTTATGTCCGTTTTGTTCGCCTCTAGTTTGATAGTTGAACGTGTTTGGCAAGACCGCGGTTTCGATCCTAATCTTGTGGATCTCGTCAGTTGCCGATTCACTGAATAGACTGTTGCACATGTTGTACAAACATTTCAAAATGGGGCACATAAATGCAAACAGCATTGCCGGTTTTAAACATGCAGAGATACAGAAATGGTTGGAGGCAAGTTGTTTTGATCTGCTTGTTAGAACGGAGACTAAGCTTGATCATAGCTTTCCGGCAAACTCGCAATTTGAAGTAAAGGGTTTTCGAATGCTGCGAAGGGACAGAAATATAAATGGCGGCGGAGTCTTAATGTACTTTCGAAGTGATATTCCATACGTTAGGTTAAGAAGAGATATTTCGACAATGAACGATACTTTCCCTACGCAGGATATTCCTCCTTCTTCTTCGAAAAGAGGAGGAAGACACTGTGCTGCTTTTTGGTTGTGCTAAAAGCTATTATGACACAACAGGCAATCCAGCAGGTCTGCATTTCTACTCGTTTCCGAATGACGCCCAGCAGCGAAACAGATAGTGCAATCTCCTGAAGCACCAGCATGGAAAGGACGGATTCTTCATCACAAAATCAAGGAAAGATAACCCCATACCAATCAAAAACAAAGCCGTAATCCCAAAGGTAATCTGTTGTTTTTCCTATGCTTTCTTTTATTCAAGAATTGTACGTATAATGAAGTATGGGGTTATACAGAAATCTTACCCAAAATCAACTTTTTTGTGCTCAGCACATTTCAAAAAAGAAGACATGCGAAAAAACGTGGGCAGGTCGCTGGAAATTGGTGAAAGGTTTATAATGTTTGTACGGTTGTTTTGTTGCTTGGATACCGAAAGAAAATGCCTGCTTCGATTTTCTGTATTGTAGAGTTTATGCTGGGATTTTTTTTCTCCTTTTCAAAAAGGTGACATTTATACTTTTTTGTGCATTGTGGTCTTATACGATATCTGTGTCCTGAATGTAAAATTATAAAATTGTAATGTAAAATTCAAATGT